CAGTTACTGTATGTCCGGACCCACTAGTGAAGGAAAATAGTTATCATAAAATTTTGATTGTTCAGCCGTCGTTTATTGAATTGGACCCGCAAAAAATTGAAAAACGTACAGCGTATGCCTATCAGCGTGGCGACTATAATAAATATGATTGTAAACGAAAATCAAAAAGCTGTAAAGTTTGCAAATAAACTAATAAATAAATAAATAAATAAATGCTACTATTTATCGAAAACCGACTGGTCAGCAATTCTTAACGAAGGCACTGTGGAAGATGCTACTAAAGTATTTTATGATATAATAAATCAACTTCGTGACCAATTCATACCTAAACGTCAGGTTATGAACTGCAAGTACCCTCCTTGGTACAACTCTGCTTTAATTAAAATTATAAAAGAAAAATTTAAATTTTTTAAAAAGTTTAAGACCTATGGTAACAAAAGTGATGAACGTACTTTTAATTTTTTACGTGATAGGGTTAAGAAAGTGGAGGATAATTGCTATAAAAACTATATTTCTACGATGGAATCTGCCATTGTCAATAATCCAAAATTATACTGGTCTTATGTCAAGAATATGAGGGGTATTAGTTCTTATCCTGCAACTATGAATTACCTAAATCAAACTAACGATACTGGTACAGGCATATGTGAGCTTTTCTCCACTTTTTTTAGTACAACTTTCTTGGAACAAGATCCTAATTCAACTTCGTTAATACCGTGATATATCTTTTGCACCAGCTACCTTATCCTCAGTGGAAATTACTAATATGCAGGTTTTCTCACTTCTTAAAGGCCTGGATCGTAATAAGTCAGCAGGCCCTGATACCTTGCCTGCTACGTTATTAACAAATTGTGCCCAGGAACTTGCTACACCAGTCACTATTCTATTCAAACGGTCACTTAATGAAGGCATCGTGCCCACTATATGGAAATCGGCATATATAACACCCATCCACTAGAAGGGGTCCAAAACCAAAATAGAAAACTATAGGCCTATCTCTAAATTATGTATACTTGCTAAGGTCTTGGAACGTGTGGTGTTTAACAAGCTATATGAGTCTATCAAGTCAAGTCTCATACCGCAACAACACGGTTTTCTGCGAGGTAGATCCACAGTCCCAAATTTAGTAATTTTTAATGAGTTTTTGACTTTTAATATGGACGAAGGTAACCAGATTGATGCTGTGTACACAGATTATAGTAAGGCATTCGATCGTATAGATCATAATCTTCTATTATCTAAATTATTAACTACCTCGGTGGCCGAACGGTTACCATGCCGGACTGCCACGCAGAGGTCCCAGGTTCGATTCCCGGGCCGGGAGAAATAGTTGTATGGCCTACAATCATTTCTCTCGTGAGTTTGGGTGTAATTTGTGGTTGTCTATGTGTGTGTCCATGGCACCCGCGACACAGGGTTTCCCTAGTGCGGGGCTATGTTGAGTGTGTGCGTTATTAACTCTCGGTATACATGGTGATTTGTTTAGATGGTTTACATCGTATGTTTTGTGTAGTACTCAATGGCTTTGCTTCTTCATGGGTAACTATTCCTTCTGGTGTTCCCCAAGGTTCGTTACTGGGACCCCTTTTATTTGTGATATTTATTAATGATATCGGATCATGTTTTATAAATTCAAAGTTCTTATTATTCGCTGACGACATGAAAGTTTTTAAAGTTGTGACTCGACTCTTTTACAAGAAGATTTAGCAAGACTGGATATATATTGTACGACTAACAAACTTGACCTAAATGTATCGAAATGTTATTATATAAGTTTTACTAGAAAGCGAAATATTTTCAATTATATTTATAAAATTAAAAATTGTAATCTTGCTAGGAATGCCTTTGGATCTGATTTGGGTGTAATTCATGACAGTAAGTTATTGTTTGACCTGCATATTTCTTACATATATGATAAAGCTTACAAAGTTTTAGGATTCATCATTCGTACATCAGAACGGTTTAAAAATATGAAAACCCTGAAAATCCTTTACTGCACTGTTGTTCGTAGCCATCTTGAGTATGCATCCTAAATTTGGAATCCTAGCTATGATACTTACTCTAACAAAATTGAAAAATTACAGAAGAAATTTACTAGATTTTTAAATTACAAATTTAAATTGCCCCAATTGGAATATGTATATCGTTGTAGAAAATTTCATCTGTTACCTTTACACCTGCGAAGAAATATAGCCGATGCCTGTTTTTTGTTGAACATCGCACAGAGTAAGATTGACTGTCCTGAGCTCCTTAGTAACATTTTACTCAAAGTTCCAGTTAGAGCATTTCGAAAGCATTATTTTCTCCATGTTCCGGTTGGTCGTACCAATTTTAGAGGTAATAGTTATCTGCCAAGATCATTAACATTATTTAACCAGCTCAATGATGAAGGTCGCATAGAACTTTTCTGTAATAGCGTTATGAATGTAAAAGCTATTATGATTGATAACTTCTTATCAAATGACTTATAAGGTGATTGTTGTGTTTTCATAATTAGATGTATCATTGTAATTTTAAGCTTGTGTTATTGTAAGATTATTTTCTTAAGTTCAAATGTGGAAGCTTTTAATTGGCATCTGTTTGATCATACTTAAATCTATATTGTAAAAGTAGCTGTAAGCTCCCCAAATATAGTAAAATAAAATAAAATAATACTACACCTAAGTACTACACAAACATTTGGGTGTGAAAAAGCTGTGCTCTCGGTGGATCACACAAAATTTGACTGAGGCTCAAAAAACGGATCGCGTTATTTGGTGCAATGCCATGCTTTGGAGTGCCATACATGTTTTCAAAATCGGTTCATTCGTAGTACGAAAAAGTGTATTAACGCTAACGGAGAATACTTTGAGAAACAATAAATTCATTTCTGATCATTTATAGTATTTTTTTCTTATTCATTCCAGAAACTTATAGTGTGCCTCACGTATTTAAGAAGACGAAGCGTGAAGCGTCCGCAAGACACTGGCCGCTACCAACCAGGCGCCGCAGGCGAGCCCAGTTGTAGATTAGTGCTCGAAGATAATGCTTTTTTTATCTAAGATCTTCCAGTATTGTCCTGTTCAGCGCCCTCCTGAACCTTCTGTTATGGCGCGACAAACATTTTCTTCATCAACTGCTGATGCTGTGAAGCGAAGCCATTCAGATAACATTAATGTACAGGGTCAAGAGCACGTCAAGCTTGCCACTTAAGATTTAAATCCAACCCTATGTCGCTTACGATAAGAACGGTCCAATTTGTAATGTGAAGGTCCAAAGTGTCAAGCTTGACGTGCTCTTGATTATACTACGTATGCTAAAGTAAAGTTAATATCCTGTATGACCACGACAGCGGTCACTGTATGGAAACAGGCTCCTTCATTGCGTGGTAATTTCTTCCACTTGGCTTTCTATAACTGTACTGTGTAAAAAAAGTTTAAAAAACAGGATGGCATTAACTTGATTTATTTACAAAGTTGGACTATAAGACTATAATAACAAAGAACAGTGACAAGTTTCAATTTAAATAAAATTGCAGGACAGCAATGTATGTATAACAGTGTTGCCCTCTCTACAGTACATTGCTGTGCCCAACAGGGTCCCAAAGCTCTAATTTAAGCGTGTCCACCTGCTACTAATGTAAACTTTTGGGAATGCAATAAAGAATTGAGTATTGAGTATAATGGTTTAGTTAAAAAAATCAAAGAATTTTTATTACAAATTCTAAGTAACTTATGCAACACACATACATTACGTAGTAGGTACCTAATGAACATTGATGATTTATAACCGCCTCCGCGGCCGAACGGTTACCATGGCGGACTGCCACGCAGAGGTCCCAGGTTCGATTCCCGGTCCGGGAGAAATAGTTGTATGGCTTACATTTATTTCTTTCGTGAGTTTCTGTGTAATTTGTGGTTGTCTATGTGTCCATGGCACCCGCGACACAGGGTTTCCCTAGGCCCCTATGTTGTTTGTGTGCGTTATTTAGAATCTAGTGCAATAGTAGTTCAAATATTTATGTTTTTTTTTTTATTCGGTTCACAAAACTGGATACAACTCTTAAATCAAATACAACAGATTGGTTAACATTATAAGGCGAGAAGAGTGTGTCCTTCTAGATGTGAACACAGCGTTTCGTATTTAAAACAAAGTGCTTAAACAAAATTATAATAAATTAAGATTTACATATCTACTATTTATGAAATAGGAAACAGACAACTAAAATTCATCGCGCAGTCACTATATAATACATTTTCTTATTGAGTTTCTAGCTGAGACCACAGAACAAGAGAATATGTCAAAATCATATCTGATAGCATTATAATAAGAGCACATGCGATACACTGGACTGTGTTGACCAAGGTTGGTTCTGCAAGTAGGGAGTGCGAAAGTTTTACGATTGATTAGGCGACTTCCGGGACGAGGTACAGATAGATACAAGCACTCGAGTATGTCAGGAGCGTCGATGACACCATGAATAATCTTGAATAAAAAGATCAGGTCAAGCGATTTTCGGCGTTTTTGCAATGAGGAAATATTAAAATAAGAGAGACATGACTCATATGAAAATAACTGCTTACATTTAAAATGAGTTGAAGGAAGCCCCCAAATAACAATAGCAGAATATTATATTGAGACTATCGATCGTAGGCCACATTTACATTCGTTACCATATATTTTGAGACTTATCCAAGAACACCCAACTCACCTAAGAAAAATTAATTTCTTTTCGAATTTTGCACTGAATTTTCTTGTTTGGCTTTTTCTCAATATTCTTATTTGCTCATATCAAATCAAGTGTTTAAACGAGAATACAAGTTACGCTGGAAATAATCTCATCACTGAGGGTCATGCAAGATCGAGATCTGCTAGTGCAAACAAGTGTAATTTTCTTGTACATTTAAAGGAGAATATACATTATCTACAAAACCAGGGAAACAAAATACATTTTCATGCAACTCAGCAGATAACAGATGGTAGGTAGACATAACCAAAGGAAAAACAAAATTATTGGAGCGTCCTCAATATATTTTAAAGATCAAAATATTTTCTTACAACTTGTAACAGTTCAATCATACCAAATTACAATTTAAGAACAACATTTGTTATTTAGTCACTTAAAAAAATACAAAATGCTGCAAAAAGAAACTACAACAGCTTTGAGTTTATGAACAAATAAAAAACGCAGTCAGTTGAGAATAAAATTATTTATGTGCTCACCAGCTTCGTGCAGCTAAACACTGCACCTTCGCTCGCTCGCTTCGCTGAAGCTGGGTGACCTAAATAATTATTTTCTGTCACCAATAATCCAAAATACAGCAAATTAAAAATGAACAAACCAAGAAAATTGAACTTAATTCTAATACAATCATATTTAAATTTCCTTATTCCTAAGTATTCCTAATGCTTAAAAGCTAGATTTAGTCCGGACCAACATTTTGCTGAAGTCATTCCACATACCACATCACTATTTTAAAAGAAAACTATGTCTGTTCTTGATCAGCAGAAGAATATATGTAGAATTCACGTCCGGGATCAAATGCAATATGAATCAGATTCTGGATACCTGTTGAGGAGAACATAATCAGGCATTTTGCATAAATGTTGATAAGTAGGTACTAAAAATCAGATTTCTGTAAATATTAAAACATACCTATGATTAAACAGGTGCTCCGGGGCCACCTTTTTTCCCAATGAGAGATTTGTGAATATGTGGGATAACACCTCCACCCGCAATGGTTGCTTTGATCAAACTGTCAAGTTCTTCATCTCCTCGAATAGCAAGTTGCAAGTGCCGTGGCGTGATGCGCTTCACCTTGAGATCCTTAGAAGCGTTACCCGCCAGTTCCAGAACCTAAAATATAAAAGTTTTACTAGGTAGGTATGTACTTAGTAAACATTTACCTAGAGCACTCATGGCAGGTAGCACTGACCAATATTGAACATATCCAGGACATTTTAAATTATGTTGTAAAGTATATATTATGTAGTAGTCTTTCTCCTGCTCGGACAATAACGATTTCAGTAATTAATGTCCCTCGCGAAAACAGTGGGATATGTAAACATTGTTTCCCGCCAAAATACAACAACAACGACTATGTATATAAAAACGTCCTATTTTCGTAATTAAGTCACGAAAATGAAAATATACAATGGGAAATCACTTACCTATATATAATAGGTAACACAATTACAGAAAGCCTAGAGGATGATATTGTAAATAATTACGTTGTGTAGATGCCGCCATATTGCAAAAGGGGACGCGTAGCGTACCTACTCACCTCGGCTGTGAGATATTCCAAGATAGCTGCAGAGTACACGGCTGCCGTTGCACCAACGCGTCCATGACTTGTAGTTCTATTTTTCAAGTGCCTGTGAATTCTTCCTACCGGGAACTGGAATCGGAAAACAATGATATTTCTTTTTCTATTGATTAATTTCACAATGCTGCCGCCGCCATACTACAGAAGTCATGCATATTATTCAATTTTATAAAATATTATTAGAAAAATTACCACACACAATTTAAGTAACCTAAATTCATCAAATTAATTATTAAGTATAATTAATATACCTGCAGTCCAGCTCTTGCTGATCTGGATACTGCTTTCGCCTTTGCTTTACCTGAATCTTTGCCCGCTTTACCACCAGCCTAAAAATTGCGAAAAAAACCATTAATTTCGATCGTACAAAGCTGAAACTTTGCCAGTACATGTATCACACTAAAGTCCACCGAAAATCACAATAACATCACCACAAAGAGATCTGATTTGCACGAAATCTTGCAAAACTCACCATTTTGAAACGTGTAACACACAATCACTACTCAATGAACAACCAACCAACACACACAGGAAAGGCGCCAAGCCGAATCAACTACACGAAGATGGTAGCTCCGCCGCGCCCTCTCGAGGAAGCGTACAGGCTAGCCAACTGCACAGCGGAATTATTCTAAATTGGTGTTACCGCCAATCAGCGTCGTTCATTTCGGCGGGCTTGCGCTACAGTGCTGCCAAGCTAAATCCGAATGACGGCAAATGAACAAACTATATCTTCCTTTTTTTTTTCTATTCCTTTATACGCATAATTACATGATTGAGTCGATGCAATATCAAATGACTTTGGTTGATATCGCATACAGTGAAAGACGGGTTGAATCAATCACTTTGGAAAAAATATAGAATAAAATTGAAGATAATACATATTACTGATTAGTATACGGTTTAAATCATGGTTTTTAAAAATTGACACGAAAGAATAAAAACACAAACTTATCTCGAAATTGTATAAGAAAACCGCTGTGTTCTATAAATCAATGATTCTTTTATATCAACCTTTTTATATCTATAATTATATATTTTTTTATATCGACCTAAATATAACAATTATTACATACGATATTATTGTAATTCAAATGGCTTTATTGACGTGTGTAAAAAAATAAATTCTGAAATGAAGACAGTGCCCGACCGCTCGACACGCGCAATAGAACCGATCCAGTAGGGGAAAAATTTGAATTCGATCTGAGAATTGTAGTGTGGCGGTTTTAGACGTCGCCTATTATCACCGGCTGGCTGTGGTGGTCTCTTTGGACGAGAGTCGCCAAGGAGATTGTCACACTTGCCGAAAATGTTTGACAGTTTTTAGTTACCTACGTAAATGGTCATGTCAGCGATTGCAAATTGTTTGCCCGGTTTGATAAAAAGCTATTTGTAAAAACCACGAAACATTATAATTATATCGCCATTCACGAAGTTCACGAGGCCGTTTTATTGTTCGTTAGGGGAACGATAAATTCCCCAAATTGGTGACCCCGACGTGTTATCTGGGCGGCCTCGAACATTTGCATGAAAAGTCCGACGACTTTGATTTTACGTTTGTCAAGAAATAAAAGTTTACAAAAATGTCAAAATGCAATGTAGAAGATGAAGTAATACAAATTGAAGGCCTCATACTCCTTTCTAACGCTCGCTGGAGTTTCCATGAAGGACCGGCTCCGACATTTGGGTGACTGCGACTTGTGAGCAGTTACGTGCGAACGTGCGTTCTACGTCATCTACCAGTGGTCGCGACGAGTCACGCTCCCGTCGACAAACGGGGATTTTGTATTTATTGTATTTTTTTTTTAAGTTCACGAAGCCGTTTTATTGTTCGTTAGGGGAGCGATAAATTCCCCAAAGTAGTACCGACTCTTAATCAAAATAATATAGCACAACGCTAAATGAAATATTCTATACTCCTTAAATTCATTATCTTGCGTTGCAGTTCGTCTAGCGTTCGGCGATGAGACGAGCAGTATTTTTCCAACTCGAGTTACTAGAGTTCATGTGATTGCTGACTCAAGTTGACTCGATTCGGTGTCTGATGGAGCAATCGCGAGTAGCCAGAGTGATGCGGCGTTTATTCATAATATGAACTCGAACCGACGACGATTCACCGAATTGGGCATGATCGGCCGGCCGCTCGCGAGTCGAGCGTGCTCCGATAAGATCGCCGAACTGACCGAGCGAGTAGCCGATGCGCTATACGAATATTACGTATGAGGTATTCAGCTTGGCGCGGGGCGGGAACCGAATCGAGCTAACTGGAGTTCACAAAAAAGTAGGTTGAGTTGATTCGTTGTGGGAGGAACTCGACTGGCCCGTCGCTTCCAGCGCGTTTTCGAGTATTTATGGAAAGCTAGGCTGCCTTTAAAGTTATCGACCATCGGCGGATCAAAACAGGCCGCGACGGGCGAGCGCGGGCGCGCTCGGGCGGTCCTCTGATACTACGGCACGTTGAAGCTAACTCACGCGGCGCGAATCGCGAAGCGGGCCTCGGCCCGGGGGGAGCCGACTTTGTAGTGCTTCACAGAGACGATCACTAAATGGTCTATTTATAGCTTCAAAACTCTTCTGCACACGATATGCCACATTGCGGTCACAGTAATATAAGGATACAGCATGGCCAGAGAGAGACCTCTGTTTACATATCTACCTCAAATTTATCTGTTTCCTAGGTAAACAAATTTACTTACAATGGAAATCATCGCATTGATTAAATCTATTGTCCAATTAATTTCATTCGTCAGGCGAATTCCCCTTAAGAATAAGTAAAAACCATATAGGTTGTAAATAAACGGATTTTGTATACTTACATTTCGTTTTACAATACATTATGCATTTCAAATATCATAATCGATACAACCTGCAAGAGCCGAACGGGTTCTAAAACTTACTTGGACTATAAACTACAAGTAAGCTGTATAATAAACAACACTTAGTGTAAAGTTTTTATTTAAATTTTTAATATCAATCAGAATTTTATAATAAATTGCTCCATCAATGACTATGCGATTATATGAAGACGACTGTTAGAATTCCTCGTATTAATGTTATGTTTACCCATAACACTATTTTTCATAAAAAAATTAGAATTCTTTTAAACAATTTACATCGATAAAGTATTATTTTACAGCTGTATTTTTTTGTGATGTAAAAAAATAGCTTTATTGATTACTTTAAATTGTTAAATTTGTCTTTTTTTGTAAATTGTTTCAATTCAAAAACTGAAATCGCATTAAAAATATTGTGATCTGTTGGGAAACCATCTGAAATATTTTTCCAGTTTAATTGAGTCACGACCGGTCGGGTTGCTACAAATCGTACAGCAATTTTAACTGCCTCTGTGGCCGAACGGTTACCATGCTG